GTTTATTTTTCATAGTCCCATTATACTCCAAATCTTTTAGATGTGCTTCGCATAGTTCTGATTCTTTTTCTCGCCTTCTGTGGGACGAAGTAATGGAAGTTTCCAAATATCCGAAAAAGGTGCTCAGTTATTCTGTTTCAAGTATTTGGTAAAAAGAGATTCAGTTTTTAATAGCTCCCTGTACCCCAATAAGTTAGATCTAAGAAACGTCATTCCTTTTGACCTTAAACGAAAGCTTGGCTGTAGCTATGCATGCAATCCCACAGTGGGTTGAACAGTCCTTGGAACTAACTTAATCAAGTGGAAGAATACATAGAAATTTGAAGCTTTGTTTACAGAATCATTGACAAACAGAGGCAGTAATAAGGACTCAGCACCTCTTCCACGTATCTAGAAAATTTTACAGTCCATATCACGAAAGAGGAGACAGAACTGGAACCATACAAATCATGTTCGAAAGTTATGCAGTTATCTTGTTATGTTTATAAACAGTGAATTCTGTCCGAAACAGCGTTCAATGAATGATGCTGCTTCACTGTGTGATACGAGAATGCAACCCTTTGTAGGAGAGGATTATGCAGACGAATTAGTCACCAGATGGTGATCAGTGTAGTTTCCAAGTCTTTTGCACTGCAACGACACTAAAATACACCTTTGTTTTTTTAGTTTCAAAAAGTGTTTTCCAATCACAGAAGGATGGATGTATATGATCTTTTTCCAATCCTGAAGAAAATCTGTTCCACTTTCTGGCGCAGCAGACTTAGCTGTTTTTCTACAACCTTGAAACGGCTTTGCTAGTAGATGAAATTGATTCATTATAAATTAATTAAGATGGCAGTTGCGTTAAATGTAATAACTGACAGCAGTAGCTGTTCAAAGGTGTCTCACTTAAGCAAATACAGGATTCTGACCAAGAGGAACACTTTTATAACCTAAAATGCAAACTTGATGCAGTATACTAGCGCATAGTTATTCAGCAGAGAGAATCAATAAGAAAATCAACTATAGAGTGATAGACAATGTACTCAGTCACCTATTCATACATTCTTATCGGTCATATTTCATTTCTTAATCAATGCCAATCAGTAGTGAATACTTGGAAAGTATCAAGCTGTTTGCTTTACAGTTCAATAACGTAAACAGTCCACTTTAAAGCAACTAGTTCAGGCTTCGAATCCCGCTTCAACCGCTTTGAACTGAACAGCCGACTTGTGTCATTAACCCAAATGCTCAGATTCCAGCTAACAATCTGGTACATTACATAGAAAGTCAAACGGAGGTGAAGAGACTGTTTATTAGAATGTTTGTATTTGTAATATTCTTGTTCGGTATGCGGAAGTACAGCGTTCTCATCCTCTATATTCATACTCAATAATGGGCTTTCGCTCCCCCCCCCACCTTGAATCTCCACCAGTTAGTTGTTACCACTTCTTGTATTTCCCAACATTATGCTATGTACTACTGATATATATCCTAATAAGTAGCTTTCACTACATCTGTACCCTATACTGGTTTGAGTTGCGCAAACACTGTTTACTATTTTGTAACCGATTCATATCTACTCATCGTAATAAATTACTAAGTACATGAATATAATATGGGGTGGTTGTTTGGTACTTGTAATTTCCTGTTACAGGCTCGAATTGTTCGACCTCTGTTGGCAGATGGGCTCCTTAGCAGATACGTCGATACTGACGGATGGATATAACATAATTTGTAGTAACTAACTACATGTGGATCCAATTTCTTTTAAACATTCTATTCCTGTACAAGCTATATGGAGGAGGTTAATAGCGGTTACCAGAATGCTAAAATCAATACTGGTAGAGCGGACCTAGAGGCTTTCATTTCATGAGCACTGCGTAAGTGCTGGATTTACTGAGTAATTCACCTAGATATAATATGTGGCTGCTCGTACATCGAGTTGTATTTAAGTTCCATCATTTACCATGATTTCGCTTGTATTATGCGTCACCGACTGGTCTCTGTCGGCATGTGGGCTCCTGCACAGATGCCTTGACACTGCCTGTCATTTCACTTTATAGTAATGATGGACAGTGGCTAGTAGTGAAATCCTAGACACACGTTTCTTCCTATTTGAAACTCTTCAGATGTCTGTACCCGCCTCCCAGTGAGTGACGTTGTTCCTACTACTACTTGAACCCGGAAACGATCACTTTAAACGGTAGACTGTTATCCACCAGGCCACCAAGTCACAATAGCTACTTCTTGTACGACGGGCACATTTTTTGTGATGCTGCTTTCATTATTCCGTCCCGTGTTCTAGTCTTAGTGGCGAGAACACTCACATGGAGGCAGGTAAATCCGACTGACGAATCCGAGATAGGACGAAACGCAAATGCTATATTCCACTGCTAGCCACTATCTCTGATTTTCATCAGTTGCGCTTGTTTACTCCAGAAAATGATCAATTCAGAATAATGGCTGTGGTTAAGTTGCGAACGTGCACTCTATAGCCCTCAGTGCTCATTACCGTTCAAAGACTGAAAACTGCAGTGCGACCACTAAGTTGAGTGACATGTTAGAAAAAGACTGGAAGGAAGCCCTGCTTGACCCAGGTTTTGTTGTTGTTGGCACTCGTCAGGAAGGCATATCTGAAAGCTCGAGAGAACTGACGGCTACTGTGAGATACAGACCCACGTATCCCAGTGGAACGGTCACAGATGTTACCATTGATCTGTGTGGATCGCCACTAACCTCCTGTACTTATGAATTAAATACACTGATTGGTAACTGGTGAGTAAGTTATTTCTTGTTTTCTGGTTATGAGTGTTGAGTGAACTCGATCGATAACTTTGCTCACTAGTAACATTACTGACTGCAGCACCGGATAACAAAGATTTAGATCTCTGAGATGATATCAGTCACTTCGAGTTCTCGATTGATGGCAAGGGTTGATGAGCCCAAAACCTAGGTAGAACAAAAAATATATTACAATTACCCTTATAATCAGTTTAATTCAGCTAATTTCGCATTCACCATTTGTGTATAGGCAGTCATTTCAGTTCATGTTAAGTAGAAATATTACTTACTTAAAGTATACGTATATCAAAGAAAGTCGTTTGTTTGCATTATTGATTAAATAGTATTGTGTAAACAGTTTAAACACACTAAGAGTCGATAATATCAGCAAGAATTCAATGTATCAATCTGTCAAGTATATTTATACACTTTAATCATTAACACTGTCCTTGCGATATGCAACATGTCTAAAACGTTGAGAACACTTTTTAACTCCAACTGAAATTAATATTATCCAACAGATAGGTTCACATAAGTGACTCTAAACCCCAATCTAGTGACTACCCAAATAATCAACTGGGGTCCTTTATTACATGTGAAAACTACATTTCCAGTTGAAATAAAGAAATTTCATTGGTCATCTCAGTGGTTGCTAGGGTGAACTTTGTAGCCATTCCTTTCACTCTAGATTTAAGTTGAGAACAAAGTTAGAACTTACTGAATAGATTGCGAAACAGCTTTCATGCAGAGATCATTTAACTGGATTTATTACAGCTTAAAAATTGCATTCACTTGACTTTGATGTCCAGTGTGGGTGATAAAAGCTAATTCCGCTGCCATTTGTGTCTACATTAAATGATGAATAAACCTTAACCTCACAGTTGTGAGATTCGACATAACGTTAATTAGGTGTGTTATTGGATGTGCAGTGCATAACAATCACAGCTATCCTTGCTAATGTAGTACTCATTATTACTATTATTTCTCTCCTCGGTACCTAGTGGAACATAGGGCTTCAGTAGCACGTCTCCATTCCACTCTGTTCTCTGCAATCTTTTCAACCTGGCTCCACGACAGCCCACAAGCTCTTATTTCTTCCACGGACAATCTCCTCCATGTCACCGTCCCCTCGGACGCCCAACTCGTCGCTTCCGATGGGGGTTCCACTCGAGTGCCTGACGCGTGATGTCCCCGAAACGGTCTTTTCAGTACATGCCCAATCCATCTCCACTTCCTTCTGCATATTGTTGAGCGATAGGTTCTTGGTTGGTTCGTTGCCCAGCCAGAGTTCCTTGTTGCTTATTCTTTCCGGCAATCCATCTGATCTTCAGGAACGAGCCAGCGTAGGCAGTTGTTGATGAATGTCTGTGGTTTGTTGGAAATACTTTTCGTAACGCGCCAAGTCTCTCAACCATATAGAAGCACTGACTTGACGCTGGTGTTGAAAATCCGGATCTTGTTCACGCTTTATGCTAAGTGGAGTGCAGAAGATCTCCACACTGGTTTCAGGTTAATGAACGCCTGTCTTGCTGTTTTTCCGATCCTGGCTTTCACGTCTTCGTCTGTGCCTGTGCCGCCGCCTGTAGTTGAAACAGTGCTGCCTAGATAGGTGAAGGAGGCTACTTCCTTTAAGTTTCTCTCGTTGATGCTGATTGGAGCTTGTTGTTGTTGTTGGTTGGGTATCTTCATCACCACTGTCTTCTCTAGGTTCACTTGAAGTCCTGTCTTCTCTGCCCTGCAGCTTCTGTCAACTTGTTAGTTTTCACCTGTAGATCTTCAAGTTTGTATGACATGAAGAACTATGATTTGTTGTGGACATATGGTTCCGCTGCATGGATGCATGACTCAAGCCAAACAGAAAGAATACGAAGTCAAGATTAATATGTGTCAAGATGCAGTCAATCTATTTTCCACTCCACTATGGAAAGAGGGGGAAGAAAAAAAGCTAGTTAAAAGATTAAGAATCTCAACTTGTCTAGAATTCGGTTCAGTTTGTGATTCATAGGCGTAGATAATGTGTATGCAGGTGCAATAGGTGTGCAGATAGTTAGAATCACGTGATAGTGTTCGTCATTAGTTCAAACAAGGATGCCTTCAAAGCTTATCAGCGTATGCTATCGCTTGTATGTGTGGATTGAAAGTGTAACATCACGGTTAAAAGTAATTTGTACGGAACAAAGTTAACAATACAAGGTGTCAAACAATATGAGATCAAAATTATGCGGATAATGACTTACTAAGAAGTAGCGTTTTACTACTCCAACAGATAAGAGATTCTTTTTCGTGATCAAATATTTAGTACGACACAACCATTCTGATAGCAGTTCTTTACACGATAGTATAACTGAATTATTTAAACTGAGGATTCAGATTTCTTGGAAATTTCTCTAACCCATCAATTTGTAGTTGTCTTCAACAGAAGCACAAAGTTGGGCAGAACAGAAAGGAGAAGAAGCATGGTATATATCCCCACTCCAACTCTCGTTAAAAAAACTATTACATAAATAAAGAATAATTTCTCATAAATCTTGAGGAATGTGTAGAATAGGAATCAAATTAAAGACAGAAATATCATTTAAATTCATTTCATCCTTACACATGCTTCTAGTAAACACCGTTCCATTTAGACAGTTGATTACCTGAACTTTTTCCGAAGTCCTAATAAGAAGCTGCAACCTTCAGAGTTAACCGGTTTGGAGGCGAAGACAAATACTGATCGTTACCACTATCTCATGAGTCTCAAGTCAGTTACTGAATAGTAGAGTGAACACCAAGACGGTCCTGAGTTCCATTCCGTATCTGAGCTTTCCCAAACTGGGGCACAATAGCTCTCCATTGTTCCCAGGCTAATGTCGATCTGTGAGGAAATCAATTAGTTAGCTAAAAATCTCTGGACCGAATTCTATCTAGGTCTGTTCAGAACTTTGGAAAACAGTTTCCATGATGCCTACTATTTTCCAGGGAGTCTTTCATCACACACAATGAAAGTACAAAACAACACTGCATGCTTTTGTTTACTGAACATGTGCTGCTCTTCAGTCGCTAACTAGTTGTTACCTACCTTTTGTTAAAGTTTCCTGAAAATCGTCATTATTTGAAAGACTTGGAAAATGTTTTGAAAAACTCAGTAACATATGCGCCCAATGCGATTAGCAGTAGATTAACTCTGGTGGGAAGAGATCAAGAGTGTTTTGTTATGGATGTCTGATCTCTAAAAAACTAACTTCAAATACATATGTATTTTCATTGGAAAATTTAAACCTTATTTTCGCGCCTTTTTCATCCCATACTATGTTTAAGCTAAGAAATGCTTACTAGTCTATTTTGCACCTTCAATATACTGTTTTGTTTTCTCTGGTCAAGACCCTTAGAAAACTACATAAATGACTGTACTTTCAGCTGTAATCGCACTGTTCGGCTGAAGTATACATACCTTCAATCTCATTGTCTGCTTCTTCTTCTAGTGTCAGCTGAGTATCATGTTGAGGAGCCATTGTTCTATCATTAATCGTATCGAGTCGGAGCATTATGTCGTTCATGTATATACCGTAGGTCAAAACATATCTAAGTTTATTCTCGTTGCAAAAAGCCATTTACAATTTACCAGGTTTCAAAGTAATATATGAAGTATTCGGCTGAGAAGTTCTTCTGTAATTTATGAAATCACTACCGAATCTTACTTTCCTCATCTTTGTTCTTGTTTCGTATTTGGATCGTTGAAAAACTCCTACTGGAGGTGCTGTCAGTGTAGCAGATGGTCTCATGAAACTGAAGTATACGGTTATCAGTTACTGGGATCCTAAAGTATTCCCAAACAAATGTGTGATGTTTGAAGATCGAGTAAATGAGTAAACTGAAACTAACTCAAGTTGACTTTAATCGCTTGACCAGGTCATTTAAGATCGAGTGCAACGAGTTATATATCCAGTGTCTGATGGAGCTTTCAATTTTATGTTCCATAGAAATTTCAAATTAATTATATATTACCATTGAAAAGGAAACAGAAATGTAAAATTCCTAAATGTTTTGCATTATGGAGTGGTAATAGTTGTAGAACCATTGGAAACACTGGAAAACTGTTTTATCCTAGTTTGAAACTACCCATTACCCTTTCTTGAATCAAATCCACTACCATCAGGTTTCGCAGCAAACATGAGACTACTGGGTTGGAACTCAGTGACCATTCTACCCAATTCCTGTCAAGAAAAACACTTGTTATAACTACCGAAAAGACATAGAACAGTGAGACATAAAAATCTTTTCTCTGAAACCCTTTCTCATAAGGATATGATCCTTGTGACTCAGTAGTCTAGGGGACAACTCTTTGAGTGTTGAAACAAAGGTGTTGACCTTGAGTCTCGGTATGAAAACCATAATTTGCTAAGGAGAAGTTGCATTCAGCTGGTGAGTCACAGCTATGGGAACACGCGCCACCTGGACACTACTGCTGGCCATCATCTAGCAAATATTCTACTCTTGCATTGCATAAACCTACTGTTGTTCGTAAATACTACATGTTTTTAACCAGCGTTAATTAACGAGATTACCGAATTCCACCACACTCACAATAGGCTGCTTTTGCTACGTAAGGTAAATTGAGTCATAAACAAAATTCAAAAAATAACATCGGTACAGTAGATTTAAACAATTCATGACTGACTGACTGACTGACTGACTGACTGACTGACTGACTGACTGACTGACTGACTGACTGACTGACTGACTGACTGACTGACTGACTGACTGACTGACTGACTGACTGACTGACTGACTGACTGACTGACTGACTGACTGACTGACTGACTGACTGACTGACTGACTGACTGACTGACTGACTGACTGACTGACTGACTGACTGACTGACTGACTGACTGACTGACTGACTGACTGACTGACTGACTGACTGACTGACTGACTGACTGACTGACTGACTGACTGACTGACTGACTGACTGACTGACTGACTGACTGACTGACTGACTGACTGACTGACTGACTGACTGACTGACTGACTGACTGACTGACTGACTGACTGACTGACTGACTGACTGACTGACTGACTGACTGACTGACTGACTGACTGACTGACTGACTCACTCACTCACTCACTCACTCACTCACTCACTCACTCACTCACTCACTTACTTGACTAATGAATAAATTGAATTACCTTTGCACTCTATCCATTTTTGCTCTTAGGCTATCGATACATGGAACTAGATGATTCAGTTCATACAAATGCCACACTCCCAACCACAGTCACAAATAATATAGTGGAAATCTGGGTGTAGGAGAACTAATACCAATAAAACTTAAACAATCACCATGATAATACTGCGGGTAAAAATACAACGTAAACAACAACCTTTAATTGTAGAGTCTCAGAAAGGGAAATCCTGCAGATCACCCCATTCAAAAACAAGAAGTGAAAAAAACAACGACTGTCATCAACAATAAACTAAATGAATCACTCAAAGCAGGATACAATGGAAACAAGTTTATTGTTTTTCTTAGATGATAAAAGTCTATCTATACATGGAGGTCAATCTTAATGATCAATCAGCTAGTGAAATACAACCAGAAATTCACCAGAAGAATCATGACTCAGGTATTGACCACTTAAGATAATACAAAGAAGTCAGCGAAATTGGTGAGTGGGTGAATGAATGCTAGACATACAATAAGTAGGTAAACGCATGGAATTCACAGATCATTGTGTCTATTAATCAATCATTTGAGAGTAAAACTTGACCTAGGTGGTACAGTACAATTCCATATTAGATTACTTTATTTGATATACGGTACACAGTGATACAGTATTATTTACTTGATGAGGCTTCCAGTAAAATGTATTGCTCATATTCATACCAAAGCGGTAATTGTACAACCCTCTGATATGAGATACTTTAGAGTCCAACAGCTCTTCATTCTTTTCTTCTCGGTAATAGTATAATTTTTTAATGTCTATAATAAATGATGAATCATTTTTATTGGATGTGTTAAGAATTTATTCGATAAACGCAAATTCAATAATCACTCACTCTCTCCTATCCATTTCACCATATTTCATTTCAAAACTGTCAGCGTGTTCCACGCTTAGGGCGATAATTCAAGAAGGCTGTTTTTTCTAACACCCAAATGGTAATAGTAGGTGTAGCTTTACAAAACTCATTTTCGCATATAAATATAGAGATAAATAAGTGAATTCGTTTGATTTTTTTCTGGATATTGATTTATTTTTGAGTTGTTTTAGTTACGGATTGATGTCAGCTGGAGAACCACTGAAAACTTGGTCGCAGTCATTAGCTGTTTCATCTTAGTTTACGACTTTCCAGTAATGCAAACTCACGAATCTGAGCGGAATCGAAATCGGGTCCGTTAGATCTTAAGGCAGGCACTGTACTATGGCTTTGATCGAATAGTTCACATTTTCCTATTTTTGTCCATTTGCTATATAGCATTACCATAGTTGAATGTCATCAGTAAGAAGTTGTAATCATACCTGACTTACTTCACTTCACAGGTAATGGATTCTCATTTTAAATTCAGAAAATCTATTTCCAAGTATGTCACTAATGGGCAGTATACAGTAATCTAGTTTGGAGGTTCGTAAAGATTGACAGATTTCAAAGCAGTTTTCATCACGCACTGACATCCTCATTGACCTGGAGAACTATTGACTTCCTGGTCTGTCTATGAAAATGTAACTATAGTGTACCAGAAGTAAAAATTCACCATATATGCATTCATAAACATGAAGTGAAAAGTAAAAGTTGATGAGATTCATAGGTGAAATCAACAAATCACCGTAAGCAAAATATAATCTCAACAACCACATTGTTCAGAAGACAAAAATATGTTCATACATGAAGGTTAATACAAACTTGATGTGACTGAATAATACTGGGTTCTCTTAACTGATCGGTTACGAATTAGAAATAGCCCACAACACTTCTTCACACGACAGTGGATACTGATTACAAGAATACTATCCAAACATTATACAGAAGACAAGACTGGGAAGGCAAGATATATATCAATGCGAAAAGGCGGAAACCAGCAATAACTACCAAGTTTAGCATAGAAAAATTGTCTTTTGAGGAGATACTTGTTAATAATTGAAATGATAATAATAAATTATCAATAAATTATCAATAACGCAACCTTTTGAACAAGGTCGATAACCGACCAAATAAATGTCAATAACATAACTTCTGATCAAGGTCAAGGACGAATATTTAGTCCATATGTTGCATAGAAAATATTAGCCAATCAACTGTCTTTCTCCTCTTTCTAACATAGTTAGTGTAGAATAACTAGTCATTGAACAATTATGAATATACACAGAGAAATAGGATAAGTAAGCTTTAAAACCCCAGTCAAAACTTTTTATAACCCGAATCAAATATATATGTGGACGCTTGAACAATTACTTTCACATTTCACCCCTTGATGGTCCCTCAGTTTTCTCGACAACTAGAAAAACCGTTAATATGACGAAGGTATATTGCAACGTCAAAAGTACGTAAAAAATACAAAGGTTTATATATATTTACAGTGGCATTGGCTATTTTCAGGTCCTTTTAGTTTCGAGTAACTTGTTGCTTCATTCCTTCTATCAATCTGATATATACAGGTTGGTCCAAGTGTTTTTTTCCGAAACTTCGAGATGAAACGATTGGTTGGAAAAAGCTTCTTATAAGGATGTTAATAATCTTACTCCACAAAAAACACTAAGGAAGCGAAGAATATGTCAATGAACTGCCTACTGAGAAATTAGTGGGGTCTTTAACTACTGATTCTCATCTTGAGAATGCCGACCAGAATGTCTTCATTTCTTTACATGGCTCAGACTAACATTCTGAGACTTCATGGACTAATACCATATTTATTTCTTGCAGCCTGTGACTTTTTCCGAGGCTAAGTCTGCTGTGACCGTAGTACGACTTAACAGTCCACGAGGAATACGAGCCAGCAGACTATGAATGATACGAACCTAACGCGCAAAAGAATCAACCCTATTGCGAATCAGAACGTCAGCCACCACAACAACAATACCACCGACTCACGAAGACAAGAAGAGAAGACAGAACGTTGACAGAACTGTTTACTGTTTCAATAAGTCAATACAGTATACAGCGATGCTGAATATATTCATTTCTAAGTGACCTTGATAACACTAACTACACAAAGAGGTAAAAATAGTTAACAAACAATGAGAGTTCAGTGTTGAGATTAGAGGGAGGAAAAACCAGTAACACCTTGAAAACAGTCATGTAGGTTATTTTTAAGGTCATGGACAAAACAGCAGGCAAAAGCCATGTAAAACTAGGGGCATATAACAAATTCTACTTCAGCTTACACTTTGTGATGGAACGGAAAATAACTATGCGTTATACATGTCCCAGTCACTTGAATCGATGAGAATTAACGTCATCAGCTAACTTACTTATTCAGCCTAACAATTTACGTTTGATCTTGACGTCACTGACGTGTCGGCACCGCGTCACATGGCCTACGGCACGAAGGCAATAATGATCAAACACCTGAAGCCTCCTCATGTTCTTCATTCTTGAGGGTCATGTTTCCCAGTCAAGTAGGAGGACAGAATGAGTCGCTGCCTAGTTCACTTAACTCATAATAGACAATTAGACGTCACAGCAGTACCATAAATGTAGGTGTAGGTTGACAAAGGCAAAGGGAACTCTATGTATCAGTGCAAAGATTTGCTCGGTCACTCAATCGCCTAGACTGACTTGACTTCTCAGGTAAGTGAAGTCATCAAAATGCTCAACCAGTGAAAACCAGTTTTGGAGCAAACATTTAGATTAAGATGGGGAGTAAAGCATCCCAAATCGTCTCAAATTGCTACTGACTCTTTTCAACATCACCTAACAGGACTATGTCATGTATGCACTCTGGGTGTACTAATGAGACTTCTATGACAAGGTTAGGAGGGTTGTTAATTCTCAGTAAAGAAAATTGATTACAAAATTCTTTATTATGAATAGATTGAGAAGTAAATAAGTTCATTTAATTTTCATATTCAACAAAAAGAAAGGTAAAGTTTTACTCTAATACTTCAATTCTTTATGTCACAAATATGTCAGCATTTCATGGAAGGGGAGATGCATTAATCTCACTGATGACATACTAATGATTTGTAATCCCAACGATTCGGCTATATTTTTTAAATAATTAATTCTGTCAATCATGACATTTTCCAGATATTTTACATTCATGCTGTGGCGAATAGAATTAGTCATTCAAGGTCATTGTCATTCCTATTTTGACAAGGATTTCAAATTAATTCCTACATGTTTCATTAAAACTACATCACATAATAAGTATACAAGTCTTGCTATTTATGTATATCAAACCTATAGTTTCTCGATATCACAATTTCCCTACTGGGTTGTTCACTTTCCTGGTGATTTTGAAGACCACTCTAACAACTGCGAAAACAACCAATCATATTGAGGTATTTTGTGTGGGAAGACAATTTTTCACAGAATAGAGAAACATGATTCGTTGTTTCATCAGCTGTTAGCGTGGCCTTTAAAGTCTTTCCATGTTTCTAGAATGTTTATTGCAAACATACTCTTTAAAAATGAAGATGCGAAAAAATGTGTATTTAATGTATTCACAGGCGAACAAACAAACGCATAACTTTACTGTCAACGTTGATTAATTAGATGTACATGACCTAGAATGCCAACAGTAGCTCATTTCTTAAATATAGATGTAATAAAGAATGTTTGTGTTCAAATTAAGTTATACTGAAAAACCGTGAAAAATGTTTACAGAGTAGTTACGAAAGGTGAAAACAGTACAATTTTAATTATAATTATTTTTATATCATACCTTCGTTGACTGAACTGGTGGGAACAACACCACTCACTGGGAAGCGGGTACATCCAGCTGACGAGTCCCAAATAGGACGAAGTGCGCATCCTTAATTCCACTGCATACATATATACATACGTAATGGGCAGTGAAAATGATGCCAGTTAAGGTTGATATCTACAAATGTGGTAATATACTGTTCATCAGAAAGCTTAAGTGTAGAAATTGATGTCCCTTATCATGAGAAAGTGGTCAGTAACATGAGTTCAATTAATTTTCTGTATCGAGACAGATAAATAAGCTAATGTTTAATGGTCAGATTTAAGGGATGTATGTTGGCTGGCTGGAAGTAATCTATGGATTTTTGCTTAACCTGCTTTTCGTGCATATACACACTCATGGTAAGAACGTATTTGCTATTTTGTGGCAAATGATGTAAACTCAGAGACGTCGCCACTAAGCTATTAGGATCACTACTCATCTCAGGTAAGGCTGAATGGATTACACAGATTGATTGACCACTTGACAGTAAACAATTTCGTGTTGCTCAGCGGTAAATCCTGATCGAATTCTAGACTGACTGTAAAGGTCACCCCAGCAACAACTAAAATAACCAATTAGACTTTTTTACTTTATGAAAATCTGCCGAAATAAATTTAATTCGTAATTTCGATCGTTGCCAGGGTGGCCTTTAAAGTCACCTGAATCCTATCAATCATTTCGCAATGTTTTTACCAAGCTAGAAAAAACAGAATCATGATGCACTTTGATTCATCTTGGACTTGAACAGAGTGAAAAAAAAACAAATTAATTAGGCACTTAGTAGTTGTTTGGGTGGTCATAAGATTCATTGATTTAACAATTACTTCGAGTGACTTTAAAGGCTACGCCAGAGACTGCTAAAATAGCCAATCAGCTTTCAATATTTCGGCTGGAATCTAGTTATTTTTAAAATGAAGAGTCACTCTTTATTTCAGTTAGTTAAGCATCGAGTGACTTCAAAGGTCACTCTAGCAACAGCTAACTTGCCCAATCAGATTTTTATGTTTTATGAGAAACTTATTTCCTAGCCGGATATCGAAACCTGATTGGCTATTTCAACAGTTGCTAGGGTGGTCTTTAAAGTCACCCTGACGCACAGCGTGGTAAACTGCAATCCAGTATGCGTTGTACTTAAATAGTTTTGGTCCCGTAAATGTGAAGAATGAATCACGTGATTAGAGT